CCTGAGAAAAGAAATGTAAGTCAAAATTTCCTGAGGGGGAAAAAGAATACTTAAAGACCAGGATATTCCTGTTATCTCCATTTTCCTAGCTTTATTCTTAAACTCGGCAGAACATACCTGGCCAGTACAGCATTCTGTTACTAATGCTAAGTATTTCCTATAGACATTAGTTATTTCACTCTCTGCCTATTTAGACTAACCTATCTTTTATACTTCAAGGTCTACTACTACAGTAATTTAAAATAAAAACAAAAATAAAACAAATCGTCCTTACTGAAGACTCATGGCCAAGCCTGCCTTGGCCTCTCCATTCAGAAAATAAAGGCAGTTCACTCAAGTCGATGTTCAAGAGGACATCAGAAAGAACATTTTAGTGAAACATTATAATGAAGGAAAAATTGCTCAACTATCTTCCATTACTTACACAATTAACCTTTCCAAAGATGAGCACTAGGAAACACATATTGACTAAATGTGAAGACAAGTATTATCTCACTGAATATAAGATTAGTAAAGTAAAAGAGATCTATTCCAAAACCCTTTGAAAAACCACTAGATTTACAGATAATCCCATAACCCTCTTCTCTTCATTTTGTCACACTCACACATAAAAAAAAATTCTATAAGTAAACTGCTGCAGCTGTTCGCAGGGTAAATCCAAAATAGTGTAGTAGTTTAGAATAGATTTCCTCTCTAAAGTAATCTTTCAAGGTCAGTAAGAGCTAACAAAAAGCTGTGAACAAGTCTTGTGATTATTACTTCCATCAAACAGAGTTCTACACATCTCTATGACTAGATCCAAGGGCCGGTTTTCTTAGCTGTATGGGCCATGAGAATCCATTCAGGAAGACTCCGATGTACATATATAGTTATTTTCCTAGATAACAAATACATCCAGACTCTGGAGAATAAAAACTCTCTTTTGGCTAATCTGGAGATGCAGGGAAAGAAGGTTTGATCTAGAAAAGTAAAAAAAGACAGATCTTGATGGTATTATTGTAGGACGGTGCTGCATCATAGTTGGGAATTAAAAGGGTCACTCTGAACCCAAGAAAGAAGAAGAAACACTTGAAAATGGAGGGCCAATGATTCAAAGGAGGGACAAGAACATTCTGAAGCTACACAAATAAGAAACTAGTGAAATGAGTGCTTCTGAGACAAGTTTTAAAAAACAAATCTAAAACTCCATCTGTAATTTCAGAGTAGTGAATTCTAAAGCTTCAATGTCATATTACAGCTAGCTGA